TAAAATCAGCTACAGAAACACCTGGAATAGGGATAATGACTAGAAAATTCCCGTGAAAGAGACGTGGGCACTTTGGTGGGCTGAAAACAGATTGAGTTGGGGCAGCTAGGTGGCACAGTGGGTAGAGCACTGTCCCTGCAGTCAGGAGGACCTGCGTTCAAAACCAGCCTCAGACACATAACACTTGACACTAGCTGTGTGACCCTGGGCAAGTCACTTAACCCCAACTGCCTTAAAAAAAAAAGCTACAGCAAAAACACATTGAGTCAACAATAAATGTGACCTTAGGATGCATTAATAGAAGTACAGTGTCCAAAACACAGGAAGTGACAGTCTCATTGTGTTCTGCGCCGGTCAGGCCACACCACATGGGGAAGACAGTGTGCAGTTGTGGGCATCACATCTTAATTAAAAAAACAACAACCTGGAACTTAAACTATTTCATATGAATTTATGACAATAATGACTCACTTATTTAATGCTTTAAGGCTGACTAAGCACTTACTCATAACAAACCTGTGTGGTAGGTAGTACAAGTATTATTGTCCTGTTTTACAAATAATTCCACTCTGGGTTCTAGATTGCAGAGAATGAACTAGCATGCATTGGTAGAGGGAATTTCTTCATCTGGGAGCTCTCTATACCGGTGAAATTACTGGTTCAGTCTTCTATTTACAAATGTGTAAACTGAGACTCCAAGGTTTTAAGTCTAGGAGCTGGGGCTGTAATCCAGGTCTGCTGATTCCAGGATGAGTGCTTTCCTTCCTCCCTCCTTTCCTCCTTTCTGTGGCTCTGCACCTGACTGAAATCATCCATCCCTTCTAGCTTTGACTCTTTATGAAAGCATGCCACACACTTTTGTAATACTGCCCTTCTCCCTGTTAACTGTTCTACATGGATGTTCTGAGATGACTATTCAGCTCACTGCCCAATTCCCCACCGAATGTCTTACTCTGTTGCTAGACATATCACAGTTCATCAATCTAACAGCAAAAGCAATTGAGACATGAAATGACACATATAACAAAGAAGGGATCAAGGAATAAAAACATTCTTTGCACTCATACTTAATCCTCCCCGGAGTTACAGAGACTGGAAGGAATTCAATATAATTGGTTTCCTTTGTAACCCTACGTATTTTATATAATGAATTTAAAAACGTTATTCTTAAAAAGAATTCATAGAATTAGAATATAACCCCCACCCCAACACAGCAGAAGGGTGCAATCAATCTGAGAATCATAGACCATGTGGTGTATGCTTAGAATGTGGTACATAGAACATCAGTCCCTCCAGCAGGCAAGAGAGTGATTGAAGTCCTTGCTCTGGTTCTGTGATTATCAACATGATGCATACATGATGCCATGACAGCTGTTCCACACAGTTTTCTTGTCTCTCTGTCTACCTTCAACCTCAAATAGGGCCTTGAGCCCTACTGCTTCTTGGCACTTGTCCTTTTTAAACCATCTGCCTTCTAACACCAATCATAATTCTCATCTGGTGACTGTATAGCCCAAAGTGATGTATTATGGGAAATTAAGTCCACCAACATCACTTCCACTTATATTGTTTTTGAATGTTTATTTTTTCAACTATCAAGCATTTATTTCCTCTCTTCCACCTTCCTCCCCCCAACAAATTAAAAAAAAAATTAGGAAAACAAACAAAACACTTGTTAACAAATATACATAGTTGAACAAAGCAAATTCCTGCATTGGCCACATCCCAAAATGTCTCATTCTGTGTCTTGAATCCATTATCTCTCTGTTGGGACATGGGTAGCATATTTCATCATAGGTTCTTGGAATTGTGGTCAGTTGCTGAATTGATGAGAGTTCTTAAGTCTTTTAAAGTTGTTTTTCTTTACAATGTGTTGTAGCTCTTATAAACTGTTCTTCTCCTGCTTACTTTACTCTTCATCAGTCCATATAAATCTTTCTAGGTTTCTCTGAAAATATGCCTTGTTATTTCTTATGGCATGATAACTTTTTATTACATGAATATACCATAATTTTCTTAGTCATTCCCCAATTGACAGGAATCCCCTTAATTTCCAGTTCTTTACTACTACCAAAAAAGATGCTACAAATATTTTTGTATATACATTTTTTCCTCTTTGATCCCTTTTAGGTATATTTACAATGTCTTACTGGTTTAAATGACTGCCATACATTCAGCTTAAATTATTAAACTTTTTGAAGTCGTTTAGAGAATATTCCTCATGATAACTGGTATATAGCAGATGATTCTTTTCGTATATAGAAAATCATGTGTACATGTATCTTGATGGATTGTGTTAACTTTGAGCAAACAACTCAGTCCTAAACAATTCTGGCAGAAGAGGGGAAATAAATATATGCTCAATTACTGAACTAATAATGTGTTACATGTATCAGTGACAGTGTGCCAGATTCTAATTTGAGAAAGATAAAAAAGGGATAGTTAGAAAAGGTCTTAATGAGTATCTAGTCAATGCAATAAACATTAATTAAGTGCCTACTATGTACAAGTGATTGTGCTATACACTGGTAGCATAAATATAGACATAAAACAGCCCCTGCCCTCAAAGAAATTCTACTGGATGCAGATTCTTAATTTCTATGTTTTGAACTTAGAAAAACCATTTTCATAATCATATTCAATACAATTGGTTTTTAGTTTATGCATTTAAAACATTATTCTGAGAAGGGAGCCACCCATAGGTTTCACTTGCCTATGAAATAGGTCCGTGACACACAAAAAGGTTAAGAACCCCTGTACTTCATGGCTGTAACATGTACATGGACAAATATAAGATAAATAATTTGAAGAGGGAGAGAACACTGACAATTGGGGGGACAAGAGGATATCAGGAAAACGCTTTGAGCAGAAAGTATGTGCTTCACTGAAACCTTGAATGAATTGATGAATTCTAAGTAAGAATCAGGGGACAAGGCAGTGAATTTCAGGTATGGAGAACAACCTTCTGGGCAAGGGGATGTAAATGGAAGACAGACTGTCAAATTCTGGGAACATCTAGCAGTGCCAGTATGACATAGTCTGACTACTATCCCACTCCTTTGCTGAAGTGAAAGGTCCACAAGTGTACATTCTAATACTTTTCAGACTTCTTTGATATATTGATCACTTATGCTGATCCCTGCCCCCCCATTTTCTTTTCTGTCTTTAAAAAACATGGTTTGTTATAGGGAATTATTTGTTATATGGCTTTTTGGGATGTCAAGGTACTGAGATACCCAGTACAGGGTATGATGACGGTTAAAAAAAAAAAGACACCGACAAAATTTATTTTAAAAGGTAGAAAAGATGACATAGTGTGGAAAGGTAGGTTGGGACCAGGCTGAGGAGTCTGTAGTTTGCTCTTAGAGCAATAGGGAGCCACTGGAGGTTTTTGAGGAGGGAGGGTCTTGGTCAGCCTCGGGTCTTAGGAATATTAATTGGCAGCTAGATGGAGGATGGATTGGAACTGGGAGAGAATAAAAGCAGAGACACTAATTAGGAGGCAAACTGAGGAGTAGTTGGACTAGTCCAACTTCCTCATTTAATGGTGAGGAATCTGAAGCCCAGGGGGAGAAAGGCACTCCCAGAAACTCGGAGTCTGGAACCTTTCAGGCGCGTGTGCTCTCCTGGAATCGCCTTTTTACACAGGAGCCCAGAACCCTTCCCATCCCAGAGGGAGGAGTTCCTGGGAGGCGCCGTTGCCCTTTTAAGGCGAGGCCCCGCCCAGAAGGCAGGCCTTGGGAGCTCCTTAAAGGGGCCGGCGCAGGGGGAGGCCCAGGTTTTCCCGGGGGATTAGCTTGTATCCGCCAGTGCCCGGAGCCGCCATTTCCCGGAGTCCCCAAGGAGAAGCCTGCGCCCCCAGCCCACCCTTGGCCGGCCGGGGACCCCGCCTGGAGCGGAGCGCGCTGCTCCTGCCCGGGGCCTCCCCGCTCCCCGTCCCCCGCCTTCGACTCCTCTGCCGCGGCCAGTGCTGCGGCCGCCGCCTCCAGGTGAGCGAGGAGCCGGGGCCGCCCGCCCCGCCCCGGGCCAGCTGGCCGGCCTGCGTGCGTGCGGGCCGGCGGGCTGGGAGCGCTCCCGCCCGGGCCCGGCCAGGCTGCTCCCCGAGGCTTCGCTCCTGGCGCCCGCCCCGCTCCGGGCTTCTTTTTCTCCTAGGCGCCGGCCCCTTCCAGGCGAGCCAGCGCTGGTCCGCCCTCGCTGCCCCCCGGGACCCCGGGCTCAGCCCCCCGGCTTCCCGAGAGTCCCGCGGGCTCAGCCCCAGCCCCCGCTGCCGCCTCGCTGAAACTCCCTTCGTCCTCACCATCCCCTTCTCCTCCGGAGTCTGCTCCTCGAAACGAAGCAAGTGGGGCGCCTGTCCCCGTGTGAGTCCCCTGCCCCAGTGTGCGTCCCCAGCGCCCTTCTGCCCTTTGCTTTCCCCGGGAAGGGTTAAAACGGTTTCTTTGTGCTGGTTACTCTTTTAGACCCATTCCCTTCCCTGACCCTCCTCTTCCTCCTCCGGGAGCACCTCATTTTCCTCCGTCCTGGCCTTTTCGGAGCCGTTTCTGCCCTCTGAGCTCCGGCGAGCTTTGTCCACAAGCCGCATTCCTGACCACCTCCCCCTGCTCTTCTCTTTACATTGCAAAAGAGTCCTTGGGCTGGGCGTCCGCAGCCCTCTTCTGAGCTCCGGGGTGTGGAGCTTTCTTTGCAGGGGGGTGAGCCGTTCACTGTCTTGTCTTTCTTGCCTAGCGCTAGTGGGGTTACCTAGAGGCTGTCCGAAACCCGCAGGCGGGAGGCCTGGGGCAGATGCTGCCACATGTTGACCCTTCCTATACCCCCGTTCAAATATTACTGCTTTAAAGGGGAGTGGTTTGCAGCCAATGGAAATGAAGAGCGAGCTGAGTTTCAGGTGTTACTGGTGCTGCATATCCTCGTAGTGAATCTCTGCCCATTTCCGTAAACAAAGGCTGTAATGTCCCTAAGGGAAGAAGCTGGGTTAATATTACTGCTGTGCTCAGTCACACTCTAGCCCCTCTGGAGCTTACTAAGTTCTAGTTAGACTTAGTAAGCATTTCTGTTTATTTAGCTTTAGAAACTGCACTTGTCTCTAAAAAAACGACGGTTTAAAAAAAATTTATATACAGTTGTTAGCTTTGGTAAAGGGGATGTTGCTGGCAGAATTTTAAGAGGTTTTCACTGGATGGGCTCCTCACTATTTCATTTGACCCTCTCATAGAATTTTCAGCTGTGATTATGAGATTTAGGGGCTGCTGGCAGGTGAGTCTTAAAAAAAGATGAGGAGGTAAGCAAGAACTTTGTTTTCATTTTTTCCCTTTTATGCTATTTGGTTCCTGAGTGAACATTGAAATCTTCAACTGTCTAGTTGTTGGGTTTTTTTTTTTATGTCTACGGTAGAGGAAGCTTGGCTTCTTCTAATCTTTATTCTGTCTTGTTAGTTGAAGAAACTTTTGTATTTTTTAAAAAAGAACTTTATGTAGTCTTTAGTTCAGATTTTTAAAAATAAATGTCTTACTCCTTAAAAAACATCATTGATCCTTTCCATTGGACTTTCCATTGAAACTAAAAATATGCATTGTTTCCTCTTATTAGAATGTGAGCTCATTTGAGTGCAGGGACTGCCATCAGTGCTTTCACATTCTTTTGTTATTTCTCCTAGCTTATTGGCTTACCTATTATCCCATGTCCCTCTCCTTGCCAAACCTCTGTAACTCTTTCTTTAACACATGACAGTCTGACTTCTGGATCCACCACTTTACTTAACTAGTATCTCAAAGGTCACCAGGGACTTCTTAGTTGAAGTGGCCATTTTTAGTCATCCTATTCCCTGACCTCTCTGTAATGTTTGTCATTATTGACCACTCTCTCTTTGAAACTCTTTTCTACTTTTGTCCTTTATCTTTCTGACTAAATCAAGTATTCTTAAAATCCCCTACTAAATGCCGGGGACTGTTAGATGCCATGGATATCAATACAAAAATAAAATCTGCCGCTACCCTCAAGGTACTTATATCCTATGGAAAATAATTTATGTAAATAAATACAAAGATACAAGATAATTTTTTGTCGGGGGGTGGGAGGGGAGGCAGTGACTGCTAGGGGATCAGGAAAGATCTTATGTAGGAGGAAGTGTTTTAGCTGAACTTTGAAAGAAACTTGGAATTCATAGAGGGGGAAGTGCATTCCTGGTGTGCAAAGGCACAGAAATAGGATATGGAATGTATGAGGAATAACAAGAAGACCTGTTTGACTGGAGCATAGAGTGCATGAAGGAGAGTATTGTCTAATAAACCTGGGGAGGGTGAGTGCAGCCAGGTTATGAAGGGCTTTAAATGACAAACAGAAGAGTTTACATTTGATCCTAGAGGCAAGTGGGAGCCAGTAGAGCTTACTGAGCTGGGAAATGACATGGTCAGACTTTTGCTTTAAGAGAATCACTTTGGCAGCTATGTGGAGGGTGAATTGGATCAGGGAGAGACTTGAGGCAGGGAAAAGTTAGGAGATTTGGAACAGTTAAGGCAAAAGTTGATGAGGACCTGAGATAGGGTGATGGTTGTATGAGTGGAAATAAAGGGACTGATGGGAGAAATACTGTGGAGGTAGAACTGGCAACCAATTGAATTTGTGGCATGAGGTAGAATGAGGAGGCCAGGGGGTTCAGTGTTTTGAACCTGGTGACTAGAAAGTAAGTGCCCTTGACAGGAGGAAAAAGAGGAGTTCTCTTTTTTGGACATGTTGAATATATATGTGTGTATGTATATGTATATGTATATATGCATATATATATAAATCAGACTGGTAGAAGGAGAACTGGGAGAGCAGTATCTTTTTTTTTAATTAAAAAAATTTTTTTAATTGTTGCATGTGAAAACTATTTTTTAACATTTGTTTTTAAAACTTTGGTTTCCAAATTTTCTCCCTTCCTCCCTCGCCACCCGCTCTCATTGAGAATGCAAACAACTCGATACAGGTTATACTTGTGTAGTCATGCAGACCACTTCCATAGTAGTCATGCTGTGGGAAACGAAATATATTTCCCTTCATCCTATCCCGCCCCCATTTATTCTGTTCTCTCTTTTGACCCTGTCTCTCCTCAGAAATGTTTGCTTCTCATTACCCCTCCCCCAATCTGCCCTCCTCCCTTCTATGAGCCCCTTCCTCTCTTGTCCCCTTCCCCCCTGTTTTCCTGTAGGGTAAGATAGCTTTCCATAGCCAGCTGAGTGTGTATGTTATTCCCTTCTTAAGCCAAATCCAATGCGAGTAAGATTCATGGAGAGCAGTATCTTTGTACATCATGGATGTTACTTAATAATAAATTTTTGTTCTGTCCTTCTGCCTCTTCTTTAAGTTCTCTCTTGGAGATAATCTTCCATTTTTATGGTTAGACCATTTAGACCCCTCTGTGCCTAAATTCTCAAATCTTTAAATCCTGTCATTTCTCTGTAGCTCCAGACCCACAGCTCCACTTGGTTGCTGAACACATACACCTAGATATCTCATCAGTACCTTAAACTTATTACTATCCCGAAGCAGACTCTTTGTTCCTCCAGGACACATTGTCTTGACTTTACTTATGATAACTATACCATTATCCCTACAGTCAGGAAGAATGGAAACCTTGACATCATCTTTGACTCCTACCTCTGCCTTTTTGCTTCTAGTCAATCCTGTTGATTTTACCTCCCTAGTTAATTTGCCCCTGTTTTTTTCTCTCCCAGTGTCCCCACCTTAGATTGGGCCTTCATCCCTCACTTAGACGATATTACAATCAGTCTTTCCACCTCCAGTTCTCCATCGCAAGCTGTCCTACACACAGGTGTTAGAATAATGCTCCTATGGCATTGTGCTGATCTTGTCACATTTGTGCTGAGAAACCTTTAATGGGTCCCACAGCTTTAGAGAATTAAGTCCGTGTTTCTTGCATGACATTTAAGGTTCTTTATACTCTGGAAAACTCTTATCTTCTCCTTTTTATGTACTCTGTGTGTTAGCCAGATATGGGTAATTCTTTGAAGGTAATTCATGCTTTCCTTCCTTCTTACTTTTGTACATAGTTCCTTTGTCAGGGATACCCTTGACCTCTACCTCGGGGAAAATTCTTACCTGTCCTTCAGTGTTCAGCTCAATTGTCATCTTTTCTTAGATTTTTTTTTCCTTTTCCAAAATATAGAAGTATAATCTCTTCTTCCTCTGTTGTGTCCTCTTGATTTTTAACAAACCATTTTTCTCCCTCAGGGATGTCAAATTCATCATTTTCTAAAAAGAACTCCTCTTTCCTTTCCAAATTTATCCTTTGTAATATTTTTATGAGCAACTCCACCATCTTTTTCAGACACTCAGGTTGACTCAGGTTGATAGCCTCTGAGACCTCCTTGTCTTCTTACTTTCCCTCACTCCATTTAACTAACCAGACTTATCTACTCTACCTCTGCAGTATTTCTTAGGAGGCAGCTAGATGGCTCAGTGGATAGAATGCTGGGCCTGGTGTCAGGAAGACCTGAGTTCAAATTTGGCCTCAGATGCTTATTAGCTGTTTGACACCGGGCAAGTCACTGTTTGCCTTAATCCACTGGATAAGGAAACAGCAAATCACTCCAGTATCTTTCCCAAGAAAATGCCATGGACAACATTGGTGTGCTATGGAATATGGGGTTGTGAAGAGTTGGACACAATTGAAAGACTGAACAATAGTATTTCTTACATCAGTCTCTTTCTCTCCACTCATATAGCCATTGCTCTAGTTTAAGCCATCACTCTAGTTTAGGCCCTCGTTTACCTTTGTCTGGGTTGAAATACCTCCAGGTTATTCTCCTTTGCTCAAGTTTCAGCCTTTTCTAGTTCATCTCCATACGGCTGCCAAAGTTTTCCTGAAGTGCAGGTCTGATTATGTTTCTGTTCATTGGACTCTGATGGCTCTTTTCCCTTTTGTAAAATAGAAAACTTTTCTGTTTTCCAATTAAATCCTTTCACAGTCTGCCTCCAGCCTACCTTTCTAGACTCGTTATATTTATATTGCTGTGTGTATCATATGTTACTCTCTTTTCTGTACTTTGGCCTTTGTGCTGTACCTGACACATTGTACTTTCCCACCTCCGTGTCTTTGCACAGGATGTCCTGGATGCATTCCCTCCTCATGTTGTGTCTGCCTTTTAGAATTCTTGTTTCTTTCAAACCTTGGCTCAAGCATTGCTTTTCTTCATCCCCTCCACCTGCTGGTGCCTTCCCCATCCAATAACCATATATTTATCATGTGCATGTTCTCTTCTCTGACAGAATGTAAGTCCTTTCACAACAGGGGTTAGATAATTTCTGTCTGTATCCTCATCACTTGCTACAAAGGTACTTACTACATGTTTGTGGGTTGATTGGTACCTGCTGTGGTGGGCATTCAGTAAATGTTGATGTCTGTCTTAGGGCTCCTTCCTAATGTACTCTCCTTTCTGTAGGAAGTTAAGTTTTTTGCCCATCATCAGAAAGGCCTGTACTTTGAGTAAGAATAATGGATTGGCAGTGATGTAGCCATCCCTTCTTTTGTGATACAGTAGATGGCATTCATGTTCAATATGGTTGCCTTTGTGATCATAGAATGGAATGGATTTAACTGACCTCCATAGGAATTGGACAACAACTTTGGTTGTATCATAACTTATTTGTGTGCATGGATTCCCATTTTTAGATAGTTAACTCTTCACCTTTGTATCCCCAGCACCTACCATGCTACTTGCTTTGATATAGTAGGTAGAAAGTAACTGGTGACTTTTTTGTCTTTCTGAAGATTCAAGGTTATCCAAAGCAGGAAATATAAGAGGCTGGTGTAGATAAATTCACGGTACTCGTCCTTTCCTTTGTTTCCTTGGTTAATCACAGATAGGGCTCTTGTCAAATGTTAAGGCTTCATAGGTTGAAAAAAAAAAGGTATGGCATGCAGTACTAATCTTTAAAAGAGAAAGCTAACTTTTTCCTTTTCCTTTTGATTTTTCAGTGAGGAAGATGCTAAGTTTTTTCAGACGAACGCTGGGGCGCCGGTCAATTCGAAAGCATGCGGAGAAGGAACGTCTGAGAGAAGCCCAGCGAGCTGCTACCCACATTCCTGCAGCTGGAGATGCCAAGTCCATTATTACATGTAGGGTGTCATTGCTAGACGGAACTGATGTCAGTGTGGATTTGCCGGTGCGTAGCATTTAAATGGATTTTTTTCACTTTTGTATGCATTAAATTTCTTGTTGGAATCATCTTAGGTCAATAAGTGAAAGTAAATGTACATTTACGTGACATAGAAAATTTATTAAAACTAAGAGGAGAAATAGAAGTTGACTGTTTTGAGCTTTTTGATTAGAGTATAATTGGTATGTACATATCACACAGAAAATTTGATTTCTTAAAACAGCTGTATAGAGTTCTTGGACAGTATACTGTTTATTAATGGCAGAAAAGGCCTTTATAACATAACCATTAAAGTGACAGTCTAATCCACCAAGCATTTTGGGCTGTGCACTGTGCTTGATGCTGGGGATACAAAGACCAAAGTGGAACAGTCCCTGCCCTTATGCAATTTGCCCTGTTTCTGTTGGGGGTAGATAACATAACATTCAAGTGTGTATAAATAATCAAGTGTATGCATAATAAATAAAAGTGGTCACTAGCAGTTGGGTAGGGGAGTGGGGAATCTAGGAGAGGCATCGTGGTGGTATTTGAACTGAGCCTGATTCCTTGAAGAGAATAAGGGATTCTTGGAGGTGATGGGAAAGAAGGAATACATTTCCAGGCAAGGGTGACAGCTAGTGCCAAGGTGCAGAGACTAAAGTGCCAAGGGACAGGGAGATTTGGTTGAGCTAAGGCTGGAAACGTAGGTGGGAACCAAGCTGTGAAGGGCTTTAAATACAAAGCAGAGGAAGTTTTATCTTACTGAGTTAGAGTTAGAAAACTCAGTTTTACAACTCTACAGTGAATAGATTAGAGTAGGGAGAGACTCAAGGCAGAGAGACGAATTAGGAAGCCATTGCAGCCATCCACGAGAGAGGTGATGAAGGTCTGAACCAAGGTGGTGGCTGTGTGAATAGTGAGAAGGCAGTGGGAAACACTGTAATATATTGGAAACACATGAGATTTAGCAACTGATTGTATATGCAAAATGAGGATAGTGAATTACTCTGAAGTTGTAAACTTGGGAGATTGAAGAGAGAGTGATGCTGTGAAGAGAAATAGGAAGGTCAGGGGAAGAAAGAGTTCTATTTTGAATGTGTTGAGTTTGAGATGATGTCTTTGGGACATCTAGCTTTTTAAATGTCTAATAAATGATTGGTAAATTGTCAAATTAAATTTAATGGTACCTTTAGCAGTTTGTAGGGCTCGAACTCAGAACTGAGATTGATTGTTTTTTCTGTGCCTCATCTTTTAGTCTAAATAGACAGAGAAGTGATATATACTGTTGACACTATATTCCTGTCTTCTTCTTTCTAAATATGTAAGTGGGTATCTTTTCCTTTCATTTTCTCTTCCCCTTTGCCTTCCTTTTCTTTGACACAGACTTTGTTAGTGCTCTTATCTCATCACTGAGAATTTGCATCAGGCATTACATAATCCCTTGCAGATAACCTTTTGGTTTTTTCATTTGTCTACACTAAGAAACTAATCAAGTTAAATTGTAATTAAGTACATATTTCAAATAGTTTTAAAAAGCAAATTTCAATAGATGTTCCTTAGTTTCCACTCCTATTTTTAAATTAAAATTTTTTATTTTTATTATCTTTTGTTTTTACATCATTTATTTCCAAATATTCTCCTCTCCTCTTCCATACCGACTGGTTAATTTCTTCCAATGAAGATTTAGAAAGAGATAGAAGAAGCAGTTTAGTAAACCAGTCCGTTAGTACAGCTCCATATGCAGTAGTCTACCTCTGCAAATGCCTGTCTGTGCAGAATGGATATGTCCCCTAATATAAAACCTTTAGTGACTCCCTGATACCTACCAAATAAAGGATAACGCCTGGACTTTGGAGTTAAGAGACCTTCAGAGTCTAGCTTTAACAACCATCTAGCCTTATCTCCTAGTACTCCTCTTTTCTTATTCTGTGCCCATTGTTCTCAATCCTGTTTCTCATTCTCATTCCCATCTTTGAGTCTTTATCACTCTGCCTGGGATGGATTCTTTCCCTGTCTGTGTTGAAGTTTGCTCAGGTTACAGTTCCTGATGCTGACTCTTTTCCCTTCTTCACTAGAACACAGATGACTACTGTGGGAGATATATATATATTTTTTTTCATTTAGCTTTATTAAAGTATATATATTTTTTTATTTAGCTTTATTAAAGTTTTTGCTATGTTGAATTTTTTTTTTTTGCTGAGTTAGGAACACAGAGGTACGCAGTGTAAGTTGTTATTGTATTTTGTTTTTGTACAGACTGGTAACTTCATTAGATTAAGGAGCTTCAAGAGAGTAAACTCCTACTGCCAGTGTAGATTAGCAACTGCCTTGCTGCTGATAGCCCTAGAGTTGCCTGGGACATTGCACCCAAATTCATGTAGCTGGTATGTGTCAGGGAGATGGTTGCCCCACCTAGGGTGACTATCCATTACGCTATACTGCCTCTCGAGTCATTATGCTTTCACATTTTCATTTGTCTTAGTAGAGGGTTATTTATATTTTGACTGTGTTTGCCCACAGATTTCTAATATTACTTTGCCTTTAGTTGATTAGCCCTTATTGGAGTCCTCAGGCAAAAGCTGGATGTTTCCTTTGAAGATAGTTTTACACCATTTTATCTTCTTTATGTACTTAATATGTTTCCAAGTCATCCCTTCCTTCCCCTCCTCCTCCCCCCCACCTGCCTGCACTGGTGAGTTCATTCATTGCATATAGGGCCTCTGCTGGCTTTCTTTATATCAGCACTGTGCCTTGCACCTAGGCACTTAATCAATATTGAGTTGTATTGCTGGTGAGTAGAATGTTATCAATTTAATATTCTCACTAACTGAAAATATTTGGATTGAGGATCATAGAATTTTAGAGTTGGAAGGGATTAGATTAGTGAGATTCTCTTAGAACACTAAGCCCTGGGGAGGTGATGTGACTTGGCCAGAGACACACAGGTGATAGATAACAGAGCAAGGATTCAACTCTCAATGCAGGGCTGCTTTTTTTTTTCTACTCTTACCATGCTGCCATAATTTAAATTATGGATTTTGTTTTAAAACATGATTTGGAATACATTTTTCCCAGGAACATAATGATATCAATCTTAGGTTCCTAGCTGGCAGACAGCTTACTTAACGTATAATTTCATAAAAGTAAACAAATCCCACATTTTCCCTGTAGTTCTGTGGGAAAATAGGTTCTTCTTCTCTGGTTGTATCCCTTTGCTCTCTGAGATTTTCTGGGTTCCAGAAGAAAATTTCTTACCCCTTTTTTGACTTCCTTCTTTTTAGTCTTATCTCACATACTGACAAAAGGGATTATTTCTTTTTTCTGTCCCTCTTGTGGCTACATTGACAAGAGAGGACTCTGACTCCTTGTTTAGGAGGGAGGGAGGGAGGGGAATGGGAGAAATAGAGTCTTATGGGGGATAATTCCAGAAGCTATTGAAAAGTTTAAATGGGGTTTTGCATTATTATTCTGTCAGTGAGGTGGGCAGGTTGAACTGAGGTGAGTCTGTAGTGTCTATAGGCTTAATTGGTAAGAGGCATGGGGTGGGGTAGAAGAGGGAGAATGAGAAATGAACTTGGGCTAAGGAGACAATAGGATGGTGAAGGGGAGTTCTGGGGTTAAGTAGAGGGAGAGGATAGAAGGAGCAGCACTTGACTGCTATAGTGGCAGGGAGGAGGAGAGATTCTTCAAACTACCAGCCAGGATTGGACATTATGGAATTTAATATTTACCTATGTAGAATTTATCTTTACCTATGTGTCATAAATGTTTTAAAAAATGAAAATAAAGTAAAATGTACTTAAATACCAAAACTATATTGAACATAAATCGTTGATTCAGAATTTTGAAGTGCCCTAACATGCCTCTATGAGCATTATATTTTTATATTGATAAGTACGATGTAGTATAATGGAGAAAAATAGCAGGTTACTGAATATTGTGATGGTTTGAATTTTAAGTAAATAGGTGTTTTCATAGGTAGGGTACCTCATATCTTCTGAGGGTTCTGGGTGGTTCACACATTCTAACATTCTTGGCAAGTTGGGTAATGAAATTTCATATTCATTTCTTGTTTGAATACTTTTCTCTAAGGGAGTTTTGAGTACTGTTTCCCTGTGACAGCTTGAATCGGTATGGTAAAAAGCCTGAGGTTGCTATGCACAAGCAAGCAGCTAGAAAATAGGTTTTTTTTATTACCTAATGTTTGAAGTATGAAGTCTCAGGATTACTAATGAAGTTGCTAATAGTAGTGGGGTAGAATTTGTAAAGTAACTTTTATTGTTTGTTTTTTAAACACTTAGTGGTAAGGAGCTCAGAGTCCCTAAAGCAGTGGATCAAATGGCCTGTGATCTCCTGGCACTATTGGTACCCATTAGGATGTGTGCAATGTCTGAATGCCCCCTGGCCCTTTCTTTGTAAGGATGTCTGCAGCAAAACAGGAAGAATTTTAAATTAGACTCTTGGTTAAACTTTGCAATTATGTTTTCAGTTCTGTAAGTGATTTCTAGAACTAGTAACCCAATTCTAGTTACTTGGAAGGGAATAATAAAATGAGTTTCAGAGCGCTAGCTGATCTACCCAAGGAGGAGACAGAGGAATTGTCAGTTCCTAAAAAAAGAAATAACTATTCTGTCCTTCTTACTTAGCTCTTCACTCTTCACGCAGTATGGCCTTAACCTAAAAAAAATTAGACTAGTCATGGGATTTAAATGATGTGCATACCATAGGTTATCCATAGTTATGTATTTCCTGTTAGATGTTAAAAGTTCATGAAAATAAGGAAACGGTTCAGCCATAGATAACCTATCACTGAGCCATCTCTTTAGTTTTGCCTCAACCCCCCCCCCTCAACCCTAGGTAAAAGGTTCCAACTCTCAGGAGATAATAATAGTGTGTTTTCTAGTCAGTGCTTGGTGACAAACATGGCTACAAAACATGACATGACAAACATAGTCCTCTTCCTTCCCTACCTCCCACCCCCAAGTTCAGTTGAAGAAAATCACTTCTGTCGGACAAAACAGATTTGT